ATGGTTTCTTAAGATTCATGGCTACGTGATAGGTTTATCAATAGCATTAAATTTGCTCAAATGTTGGTTTTGTATACTTCTTTTGGGCAACTTGAGACATTTCAGGCAGTATGCCATCTTTGACGAATTATATGAAAGATGCTGCCAACATTTCTTGTAAAAAGCACCTCAAATGCAGCATTGTAGAGAAGTGTAGCGTACAGATGGGTGGCTAGAAAAAGAAAGTTAGGACTCAATATTGTGTAAAATGTTAAACCATTGATTCTCGTACTTGCACTTACTTTTAAACCACTGTTTCTCGTACTTGCACTTGAAGGACTTTTTTATACAACATTTGTGAGCTTTGGTCCATGTTTACCATATTCATGTGAATGAAGGGATATTAATTAACAACTTTATCCTAAATAATATAGAGGAAATTGGAAAAAAATTGTTAGGAAGTTGTGTTCAAAGCAGAAAAATGCAACTAAAGTAGAAATGATAAAATTAAAGAAAAATTGATGAATAAAAATTATTGGCAAATTGTAAAAGTATTTTAACTATAGCAAAAGGTTACAACAATTTCTCTTTACTATAATGAGAGTACAACAACAATAATCTCTCTCTTATAATATGGAAAAACACTCTCTTAAATAAAAACTAAGTATTTAGGAGAAACTTCTCTTTTTCTCTCTTTCAAACTTTTCCCCTCTCTTTGTTCTCTCAAGAATGGGATACCACAAGTAAATGGTTATATATATGATTAAAAAGTAATGTGAACATTGCACAGTTCACATTAAATTGTGACCGCACAATGTGAACACTAAATTGTGACTGTACAGTGTGTGCAACAAATTACTGCTGCCCAACATGAATACTAAGTTACGGCTGCACAGCGTGAAAACCAAATTACGGATGTGTAGTGTGAACGGTAAATTATTATTGCATAATGTGAATACAAAATTACGTCAGAACATAAAAAAGTGACTTTATCAACAAATTTGTCCCGCTTAAAGTCAATTTTATACTAACCATTTTATCCTTTTAATCTTGCTCTTTCATGCTACTTATGTTTTCGTCAGGCCAATAACGGATCATCATCATATAAATTTGAGATCGTATAGAGACTTGTTCAACTTGCAAACCAAGTTCTCTTTTTCTTTTGCTTTATAACCTTTTCGCTAGAGTACATAAATATCTTCTTCAAGTTTTTCATGAAAAAATGTAGTTTTTGCATCCTACCATTCTAAGTGCAAGTCAAATGTAGCACACGTTCTCAAGATTACTCGAACTGTTATAAGTTGAACATCAGGAGATAAATATTTCATTGAAGTCAATGCCTTATTTCTGAGCTAACCATTCACCTCCAATTTTGCACGATACCGCTCCACTTGGTCATTGTCATCTCGCTTAATCTTATAGATTGATTTGTTGTCGATAGTTATCCCGCCTTGTGGTAGTGAAACAAGATCTCATGTCTCCTTTTTATAAAGAGCTTTCATTTCTTCTTCCATTATTGTCATCCACAGAGTAGTTTCTTGGCTATTTATAATTTCATAGAAAGTTGATGGCTCTCAAGTCTCAATCCTCTATTAGTATACATTATGCAATATTTTCCCCTTCATAATGTACTTGGAGTGGGAAGCTAGTTCTCTTATCTCTCGTGTTGATAGTCAAATTTCTGGAACTATAGACTCAACTTGTTTTTGTTTCTCGTGCTTTAGAGCTACTTCAGAAGAGTCTAGAACTTTTTGTTCTGTCCATCTTTAACTTTGAATTTTGTACTCTGGTTTCCCATTTGAAAACCTATTAGCTTCATTTTCTTGTCACTTGCCTTCGGCAACTATTATGTCTTTGTTGATTATCACTTCATAGGTAGTGGGATCTCACATGTAGAACTTCTTGACTACATCAATATACCATTAGAAAATGCATTTTTTGGATTGTAGATGTAGCTTTGATGTTTCTTGGATGCTGTTCATAATGTACATAGGACTTGCAAATACATATAAATGAGAATAATCAATTGCCTTATCAGTCCACATCTCTATACGCATCATTAGTTCAAAAGAGGCTAATGGTGACTAATTGATTACATAACAGGTGGTTTTACTGCTTTCGCCAAGAATGACTTCGCGAGCCCCACAGTTGTCAACATTGCTCTTATTCTTTCTAACAAGGTTCTATTCATCGACTCTGCCAGTCTATTTTGTTGTGGATTGTACGTCATTGTGAACTGTCTTTTAATACCTTTTTGTTGACAGAAATTATCAAATTCATTATCAATATATTCTCATCCATTATAAGTCCTTAAACACTTGATCTTCTTTTCACATTCAAGCTCTCTTAGCACTTTGTATATTTTGAAGACCGAAAATACATATGCCTTTCTCCTGATTGGATATACCTAACATCTCCTCGAGTAGTCATCAATGGAAGACATAAAGTATTGTGCACGTCCTAAGGACAAAACTGGTGCTTGCAAAATATTAGAATGAACCAACTTTAAAATAACATTGCTTCTTGTATATTCGCATCCATCATAAAACATTACTCGAGAGAGATTGTTGAAAAAAATAGGAACATTGATTTTTCAAAATTCCACTGTGTTGTCAAAGTGTAAAACTAAGATTAAAAAGGATTTTTGTATGGAATTTGGGATCCTAACACGCTTGTCGTTCACTAAAACATCAACTTTCATAGCATAATTTGCATTTAGTTAGTTAATTCACTCATAATCACATAAGTAGCTTATTTTAGTTATACTTTCGTCACAAATAAACACATCTTATTATTCTTTTTTCAGTTAAGATCGTGATATTTAAAATCGAATTAATCAATCTCTGTGAGACGATAATGGAACTCAAATCTACTTTATTATTTGTTAACAAACCGTACGCTTTACGGTGATTTTAATTCGAAACATATTTTCGTGAATAGTCTCTATGTAAAAGCTCGACTTCTTCACTGAGGTTTGACCAAAACTGCCTCTTGGGCAGAATGACGTGGGGTACGAACCCAGATTTGCTTGCCATGTAGCTGCCATGCAGCAGTTTTTGGAGAGGCGTAGCAATAGTCTTTGTGATGTCCATTTATGGTGCTCAAGATACTTTTAGTTGGTCATAGACATTCCTCCTATTAACTTCCTCCCCACCCCCCACCCCTTCTTGTTAGGACCTTCCTCTTGCTGCTCACGCTGATTCCCGGGCTCAGTTAACCATTAAAACCGAGTTTCAACATCAAACTGGAAGAACCCATACCGCCGACTACTCTTCTTCCTATGGTTGCTTTCTTCTCTTGCTTAATTGATTCAATCCATACACTTAGGATGGATACCACTCAGGTAAGGTTCACAAAGACTCAAGCAATTTGGGTGGAGAAGAAATCACGAAGGAGATGAAGGCAGAAGAACTCGGCAGTTTCTCACGGCTTGGACACGGTTGGACGGCTTCAACTTTGGACGATACCAACAAAGGCAAAGACACCAATATATATAGTAAGTCAAGTGGCCAACATAAGGTAAGTCGGGATATGGTAAGTAGGCTCGACTAGGGTTAACTTCCAATGGAAGAAATCAACAAGCCACAAAGAATATTAGCCGTCCAATAGGTAAGGCAACGTTCGGTCGGTTCATCCATTATTCGATGTTGAATTATCGTTCAGTCATTTATGTCGACTGATAAAATTGGTTCTCATCATTGCCCGGGGGTCGTTTGACAACATAATGTCTAACACTTCTATTTTCGTTTCTTTTCCTTGGAGTTCAAGAAAAAGCATGAAATAAGGGCTCGTGAGAGAGACGTGGAGAAAAGTTTTGAGCATGGGAAATCTCCTTAACGGGCACGAACCAATGTTAAGGGAGATAACGTTTTCCAAACGTGACAGAGCGAGCAGAAGTTATTGTGCTGCATCTGCTTCCAAGTTTTATCGACAAAAAATAGGAACATACAGAATGTACGTGTTTGAAACTTCAAATGATCTGAGGGTAGCACTTGCTGTTGCCTCATGTGACTGATAATAATCTCCCGAACCATACATGTATATATACATATTATTCTTGCTTCTGCTGCAAATATCCTTCTCCAACCATTCTTTCAAGATACATTAGATATGTATGTATAGATAGATGTTCCCTTGATACAGTTCTGTTATATTTACTTAATCCAAACACTATGTGCTACTTAAAGATGGTGCTCAAATTTACTATTCAGTACAAAAAAAAAAAATTTACTAGTGTTTTGAGTTTGGCACACTAGTGTTTTCCACGAATAGATACAATAACAAATCTAATTAAAAAATATTGAGTAATGTTATTTGTACATAATGGAGTTACATAATGATTTACAAATCTAATCAAAAAGTGACTGGTGAAGTTTTTTTTTTATTTGGTTGAACAAATTCTCATTCAATCGTGTATCACCACATCATGTGTATGCAAACCATTATATACGTGTAGTACAATTGAAGAATATTTAGAGGTTGTTTGACTAAGCTTTTGATAAAAGTTAATAGTGGATTTTGAAAATAGTTGATAAAAGTTGCGGGTTTCATTAAAAGTGTGGTTAAAATTAGTTGTTAAGTGATCCCAAACAAGCAATTAATGAAATACTACAACTCTGGGCATTATTCTAAACTACTATGTATGTTATTAATCTTGGCATAACCAAAGACTCAAATCATGGGATCAATTATTAAAAAATATTGACGAATAGGACCTTATTGACAACAATAGTCACCATGATATGTCCTTGACCTAGTCTACTAATTAATCATTCAACATAAGTATATCATAAGATAGATGTCATGTATTCGAATCTTGATAGACGTGAAAAATTCATGAGAGGTAAAATTGATCAAGGCTCTCCAAAATGAATAATGTGAATGAGTTAGCTGTCAGTAGCTTTGTGCATCTGTTGGATCATTACACTAATTATGACCCATGAATTCTCCAACATATATTAAAAGATGTATGCTTTATTTTTATATATTATTGCTTATCATAATAACCATTCAAATTATAATCAAGTAACAATAAGTCTCCCAGAAGCCAATGTCATGCTTATTAGTATTTCCATCTGCCTATTTCTTTCCTTCAATCCAATCTCAATAATGCCACTAAAAATCTTTTGACAGTCGCTTATTGGTCTTTCGCTTTCAGATACAAAATTTAACATGATCCTGTAATTTCCACTAGCGAATTCTAAGGTGGCATTTTCCAAAACCTCCATCGCAGCCCCATAACCAGCATTGCAGATTTCGTAAAGATCCCTCATTTCTTTGTTTTTTTCAGCAGCTTCTTTCTTTTGTATGAAAATCCGCGTGTTGGTCGAGTTTTCCAGTGATCGAGTCAGGGCTATTTGTGTTAGACCAACAGCATTTGTTACAGGAGAATGAAGGTTTTTGTTAAACACATTGGTGCAGAATTCATAATCCGGTGTTTGTCGACAAATCTTATGGATTAGTGCTTGAGTAGGATCATCACCTAAGGTGGGTTGAATGAAGGAGAAGATGATTAACCATGCAGAAAAGATCAAGAGCCAATGAATGAAATCCATGGAAAAAATTTCAATGAACTTGAGATCGAGAGAGAAAAATTGAGATTACCCCCGTATTGTAATGTCTATGGTTCAATTAAACAAAGTAAGCCATCTTGGTATTTAAACAAAAAAAAGCCCCTTTTTCAGTACATACATGCTAGATTATCTTGTTATCTGTTATCTGATTATCAAAATTTGTTTGAATTTTGTTATTTAGATTGCTATAACTTGAGGATTTTTTTATTTTCATAATGTGAAGATAGTGTCTTTATTTTCTATAATTTGTGGGATTTTTATTTTATTTTAATGACATAGGGGTTGGTGTCTTAATTTTTGAGATTGTCAAGAGGTTATGCTTAGATTACATTAATCTTTATTATTTTAGTTTCATCATTTTGAGATTAATTCTTTCTTCATGTTGTGATAATAATGCTAAAATTGCCTTCCCCTTTAAGCTATCAGCGAACCGTCAAGTCTCGATCACTTTGTTGGGGAATTGAAATCAAGTGATTTTTATAAATTATGATTATTAACAATGACCTATTTATATTATTTATCTACAATATATATTAAGCCCTTGTTTGAGCTTCATTCTTCTAAAAAATTATTTTTTCAAAACTCATTTTCAACCACACATTATTCAATAAAATAATATTACTCGCAAATCCAAAATTTTACTTAACTTTTAGTCACACATTTTTCATCAATTTATTATTTAAAATGCATTCTTTACCCCAAATGGGAATCAAACAAAAAATTGAGTATTGAGGAGAAAATTTTGAATACCAATTTTACCCTTACATATTTAGTAATATGTCAATTATATCCTTATATATTTAATACTATTACTTAATATAATTTAACTTCATTTAATATACATTTAAGTGTAATGCTATTAATTGAAATATTACTAAATATGTAAGGATATAATTGAAATATTACTAAATATGTAAGGGTAAAATTGGTATTCAAAAATTTTCTCCTCAATACTCAATTTTTTGTTTGATTCCCATTTGGGGTAAAGAATGCATTTTAAATAATAAATTGATGAAAAATGTGTGGTTAAAAAAATTAAGTAAAATTTTGAATTTGCGAGTAGTATTATTTTATTGAATAATGTGTGGTTGAAAATGAGTTTTGAAAAAATAATTTTTTAGAAGAATGAAGCTCAAACAAGGGCTTAATATATATTGTAGATAAATAATATAAATAGGTCATTGTTAATAATCATAATTTATAAAAATCACTTGATTTCAATTCCCCAACAGAGTGACCGAGACTTGACGGTTCGCTGATAGCTTAAAGAGGAAGGCAATTTTAGCATTATTATCACAACATGAAGAAAGAATTAATCTCAAAATCATGAAAATAAAATAATAAAGATTAATGAAATCTAAGCATAACCTCTTGACAATCTCAAAAATTAAGACACCAACCCCTATGTCATTAAAATAAAAAAATCCCACAAATTATAGAAAATAAAGACACCATCTTCACATTATGAAAATAAAAAATCTTCAAGTTATAGCAATCTAAATAACAAAATTCAAACAAATTTTGATAATCAGATAACAGATAACAAGATAATCTAGCATGTATGTACTGAAAAAAGGACTTTTTTTTTTTTGTTTAAATACCATGATGGCTTACTTTGTTTAATTGAACCATAGACATTACAGTACGGGGGTAATCTCAATTTTTCTCTCTATATCTCAAATTCATTGAAAATTTTTCCATGGATTTCATTCATTGGTTCTTGATCTTTTCTGAATGGTTAATCGTCCTCTCCTTCATTCAACCGACCTTAGGTGATGATCCTACTCAAGCACTAATCAATAAAATTTGTCGACAAACACCAGATTATGAATTCTGCACCAATGTGTTTAACAAAAACCTTCATTCTCCTATAACAAATGCTGTTGGTCTAACTCAAATAGCCCTGACTCGATCACTGGAAAACTCGACCAACACGCGGATTTTCATACAAAAGAAAGAAGCTTCTGAAAAAAACAAAGAAATGAGGGATCTTTACGAAATCTGCAATGCTGGTTATCGGGCTGCGATGGAGGTTTTGATAAATGCTGCCTTAGAATTCGCTAGTAGAAATTACAGGATCATGTTAAATTTTGTATCTGAAAGTGAAAAACCAATAAGCGACTGTCAAAAGATTTTTAGTGGCATTATTCAGATTGGATTGAAGGAAAGAAATAGGCAGATGGAAATACTAATAAGCATGACATTGGCTTCTGGGAGACTTATTGTTACTTAATTGATTATAATGTGAATGGTTACTATGATAAGCAATAATATTAAAAAATAAAGCATACACCTTTTAATAGATGTTGGAGAATTCATAGATCGTAGTTAGTGTAATGATCCGATAGATGCACAAAGCCATGGACAGCTAACTCATACGCGTTATTCATTTTGGAGAGCCTTGATCAATTTTACCCCTCATGAATTTTTTCACGTCTATCAAGATTTGAATACATGACATCTATCTTATGATATACTTATGTTGAATGATTAATTAGTAGACTAGGTCAAGGACATATCATGGTGACTATTGTTGTCAATAAGGTCCTATTCGTCAATATTTTTTAATAATTGATCCCATGATTTGAGTCTTTGGTTATGCCAAGATTAATAACATACATAGTAGTTTAGAATAATGCCCAGAGTTGTAGTATTTCATTAATTGCTTGTTTGGGATCACTTAACAACTAATTTTAACCACACTTTTAATGAAACCCGCAACTTTTATCAACTATTTTCAAAATCCACTATTAACTTTTATCAAAAGCTTAGTCAAACAACCTCTAAATATTCTTCAATTGTACTACACGTATATAATGGTTTGCATACACATGATGTGGTGATACACGATTGAATGAGAATTTGTTCAACCAAATAAAAAAAAAATTCACCACTCACTTTTTGATTAGATTTGTAAATCATTATGTAACTCCATTATGTACAAGTAACATTACTCAATATTTTTTAATTAGATTTGTTATTGTATCTATTCGTGGAAAACACTAGTGTGCCAAACTCAAAACACTAGTAGTTTTTTTTTTTTTTTTTACTGAATAGTAAATTTGAGCACCATCTTTAAGTAGCACATAGTGTTTGGATTAAGTAAATATAACAGAACTGTATCAAGGGATCAGCTTTCTATACATACATATCTAATGTATCTTGAAAGAATGGTTGGAGAAGAATATTTGCAGCAAAAGCAAGAATAATATGTATATATACATGCATGGTTCAGGAGATTATTATTAGTCACATGAGGCAACAGCAAGTGCTACCCTCAGATCATTTGAAGTTTCAAACACGTACATTCTGTATGTTCCTATTTCTTGTCAATAAAACTTGGAAGCAGAGGCAGCACAATAACTTCTGCTCGCTCTGTCACGTTTGGAAAATGTTATCTCCCTTAACATTGGTTCGTGCCCGTTAAGGAGAAAACTCCACGTCTCTCTCACGTGCCCTTATTTCATGCTTTTTCTTGAACTCCAAGGAAAAGAAACGAAAATAGAAGGGGTGGGGGTGGGGGGGGGGGGAAGTCAATAGGAGGAATGTCTATGACCAACTAAAAGTATCTTGAGCACCATAAATGGACATCACAAAGACTATTGTAACGCCTCTCCAAAAACTGCTGCGTGGCAGCTACATGGCAAGCGAATCTGGGTTCGCACCCCATGTCATTCTGCCTAAGAGGCAGTTTTGGTCAAACCTCAGTGAAGAAGTCGAGCTTTTACATAGAGACTATTCACGAAAATATGTTTCGAATTAAAATCACCGTAAAGCGTACGGTTTGTTAACAAATAATAAAGTAGATTTGAGTTCCATTATCGTCTCACAGAGATTGATTAATTCGATTTTAAATATCATGATCTTAACTGAAAAAAGAATAATAAGATGTGTTTATTTGTGACGAAAGTATAACTAAAATAAGCTACTTATGCGATTATGAGTGAATTAACTAACTAAATGCAAATTATGCTATGAAAGTTGATGTTTTAGTGAACGACAAGCGCATTAGGATCCCGAATTCCATACAAAAATCCTTTTTAATCTTAGTTTTACACTTTGACAACACAGTTGAATTTTGAAGAATCGAAGTTCCTATTTTATTCAACAATCTTTCTCGAGTAATGTTTTATGATGGATGCGAATATACAAGAATGCATGAACTTCTTATAGTGATATATTTCTATCTCTTATTGGACTCTATGATGATTTACACCACGTTGAGCATATTTCCCTCTTTCAAATGCATAAAATAAGCAATCAAATTCATAGAACTACCTTGCACAATAATTGTAGACAAAAGATAATTATATAAATCATTTAGAATTCGAAAACGTATTTTCAATGTCAAATTATGTAAAATAAAATATTATAAACTTATACTACAAGCTTCATCGTTCTCTTAACACAAAGAAATCTAGCCTAACATGTCGTGAAGAAGAAAACAAAAGATATGAAAATTGTTCATCATCCGAAAAATCTTGAATTCAATTTTAGTGTTCTTGAATCTCGATGTGTTCTTTACCTCCTTTTGCAATTGATTCTCCACAACCCTAATTATGTGTTGGGAATTGATATTTATAGTACTTTTCAATATGTGCCGCCCAAGGAGATGTTTCCCTTTTGGATTGAAATTCTAAACAAAAGTCAGTTTTTCCATCACGATTGGCTTGGGTAGTCGCCCAAGCATTTTTTTAGCCTCTATTGTCCATTTTTCATGGCTGAGTGATCACATGACCAATATAACTAGGTAGTCGCCTAGTTATGTTTGCTTTCAAATTTTGCATTTTAATTCCCGAATTCAACTATCGATTTTTTAAAATCATTTTCTTTTGCAATTTCAATCCTTCAACTTCTAATTGCATCCCCATCTTTAATCTTCATATTATGATCCGAATCAACTTCTAGAATGTTGTAATTTAGCCCTCATACTTTGAATTTTATGCTTTTTCTTTTCCAATTGCTCAGAAACAAGTCCATCA